TCCCAGCTCCCTGCGCTGCACACCCTCCCCGCCCCAGGCCATGACCGATGTAGGTAGGGTCAGGGTTACAGTTAGAGTTGGGCCCCTTCAAACATCCCATCGTTTCTCCCCTGAGAGACACGGACAGTGGACAATTTGGAGTTGAGATTTGCCAACACATAAGTGAAGAATTATGTTCCCCTGTCTTTTGGTCTTTTAGAAATGCATTTGAAACAGTGTGTTTGGGTTTTTTTTTCCCTTCTAGTTAAGGGACTATTTATATGTGTATAGGACAGCTGTCTCTGTTGTTGATGTGTTTTCTTTAGTGAGGTCCAAAGACAGATGCAGACGGGGGTCAGGCCCATGTCCCGCTGATCCCCCGAAACAAGTCACTCCAGACGGGCCCCTGTGCCAGGCGCTGGTGCACTGCGGCGCTTGGAGTTGTCATTTATGGGGTCCTTGAAGGATGCTGAACAAGGGCTGTCTTTCTCCTTCCGTCCCGGTCTCTGCGTTCCTGCTAGCTGTCCTCTCACTCTGCGCCCGCCAGCCACAGGGCCCACCCCCTGGGGAAGTAGTGGGTAGAAGCCTAGGCCTTACTCGGCAAGATGCGGATGGGGTAAAACTGGAACCAGGCGGAGCCACGCTGGGCAGCTCCCACCCACTCAGGGCCTCTTTCCGCAGCCCAGGACGCTTTCGGCCCCCTCTCTGATGCTCACTCACAAGGAGCCTGCGGCGGGGGAGGAAGGGGCATCGGATGATCCTTGTCCTGCAGACTCCTTTTCTTAACCAAATCCAGAGGATGTTACGGAAAAGCTAACCACGTGGTTTTTTTTTTTCTTTTTTTAAGGAAAGGAAAGGAATCCAGTTGCTTGCATCTTTTATTTTTAAAATAACACTTTATTTCCCGAGTAATCCCATAAAGCAAGGACTGGCGATGGCGGCCAGAGTGTGTTAGGACTCGGGCTGACGGTGCCTCTCCTGCGAGTGAGAGTGGCTGTATTTCTCCCTCTGATGGGCCCCTGCTTCTTCCTGGTGCTCGGGAAGTGGCTTAGAGCAAAGGATTTTAATTTTAATTAATTTGCAGTGAACTAATCTCCTGTACAATTCTGCTTCCAGGCATTTTAGGGAAACAAATGCTGTTAGTAGATAAGGGGAGCTTATTAAGTGTTTTTTAAAAAACAAACAAACAAAACCACAGGGACATTTTTATTATAGATTTGTGGTGGTTGTTTTTTTTTAATGAATTTTTTAAAAATATGTAAATAGGACACCAAAGCTGCGGGGGTTTTAGGGTTTTCCCCCCTCACGATAACAAAACAAGCGGCCCGCGATATTTTTTAACTCATTCCGATCAGGGTATTTTTTTAGACGTTGCCTAAATCGATGCCAACTGGAGAACCATCTCTGCTCTCTTTTCTCAAATGCGATCAACGAGTCCTTTTTTATTTTCGCATTAAAATACTTTCACTGTGATAGCTAGCTTACCACCGACTCCGCTCCCTCTAATTTGACATCGACAATTTTTAAAAATGCAACTAAGTGGTTAATAGTGTGTGATGTTTAAAGTTGATGTAAACTGGAAAGGTTGTGTGCAGTTGTACTTTTTTTTTTTTTTTTTTTTTGGCTAGGGTTGTGTGTTGTTGTTTTTTTAATTTTATACTTTTCAAATAAACATGCAGTTTCATTCTTTCTGTTGGTGTGAATGGTTCTTCACCTTTCTTAACCCACCTTGCTCTTCTATGGCGATGTAAAAAACAGACAGCTCCCATCTGTCATGACTTCTGCATTGAATTGATGCCATGGGAAAGGCGGGAAAAGCAAGAGTCTATTGGCAGAGTCTAAATGTGATGGGCGTTTAAGGATTCCACAGCTGGTGTGATTGGAAGGCAGAGGTGAAATCACGAATTCCAGTTCGTATCATGGGCCCCGGGATGTCACTTAAGAAGATGGGCATGAACTGCCTCCACTGCAGTGCTGTTTGGGGGACGGGAGAGGTAACTGTGAGAACCAATAGCAGGCCCTGACCTGCAGTGCCGGCGTACACAGCCGCGCTAGCACAGTGTGCGGATAATTAGTTTAGAGCCACAAATGGTGCAGATTGGCCCCATCAGTGATGGAGACGTCCTTGTTGGTCTTACAGGTCTTGTTTTAGAACCACGTGTTGACTGATGCTGCAAGGACAGTGGCATAGAGAGTCAGGAGGTCACCCATACCGCCACCCATGAACAGGAGAAGTAACCTTGGCCGTGGTCTTGGCCAACGTTGAGATCCACATGGGAAACTAAACACAGGTCTACAGAACCTAGATTTCGATCATGTACTGATGCCCAGGGGTCTCAAAAGGATGATCAGGCTGTGAGACAGCGGTATCCCAAGTAGTCTAGAGTGATGTGCCCCAAAGGTTTGTCAAGATGTTCATTCCTTGATCTCAGGGTGCCATTTTTCATAGGTGCCACAAAGAAGAAATGGTTGCGAAGCACTCATCTAGAGCAGAGATCAGTAAACTTTTTGTGTAAAGGGCCAAATGATAAATATTTTTGCTTTGTGGTTATATGGTCTCTGTAGCAGCTACAGAATCGTCCATAGACGATACAACGGGTGTGGCAGGGTTCCAGTAACTTGACAGAAATACATGACCAGTCGGATTTGGCTCATGGCCTGTTATTTGCCAACCCCTTATCTAAAGGATCGTTTCCATGTCATGTTCATGGATCCAAAGCTAGGGACATTTTAGAAAAGCATATTCCTGGCCTGGAATATTAGAGCCTTTGAAATGGCACCAACCTTTAAAAAATTAAAAATAGACAAACTCTCAAAGCAGGCAATTCGAGGACTGTGAAGTTAATTTTAATCGACACTATAGCTCTTTTTCAATGAATAAGGAGATACAGGAGAAGTAAAGATGAGTAGAGGCTTTCCCAGTCACACCCTAAACAGCTGGGTTGAATGCAGCGATCCTAGGCAAAAAAAAAACAACTATGACTAGCGATTCTGTAAGATGATAAAGTGACACAACAGACTGCCTTTTAGAGAAAAAGACAGGGATGACTGACCTGTAAGTTATTACCTGTGTTCTCCATGTAGCTTGCCATCCTCAGGCAAGGCCGTAGATCCAAAGAGTAAACTGCATAGGAAAGACCTTCAGGTGGCCACAGTAGAGGTGCCATCGGGTACATAGGAGAGGAAATGCTCCCAGTGAGACCCACGGCAGAAATCTTAGTGAGGAAACAGGCAGACTCCTCGGACAATCAAATTAATGGAAATGGTAATAGAACCTCCAGTTGTAAATGATAAAAATTCAACTCACACGAGCTTAATTGTACAAAATGGTAGAAGACGTATTGGCTGATGCAACCAAGTCCAAGGGTATGGGACTGTTGGTTTGGGGCAGGACTGGATTCAGTTGTTCAGAAGCTGTCATCAGGAATCGCTTCTCTCTCCCCAGCTCCTCAGCCCAGCGCTGCTCAGCTTTAGGGCTTTACATCAGGTGGAAGAGGGTCCCAGGAGATCCAGGCTCACAATCGGAAAAGGAGATAACTGTCTTCATGAGAGTCTATAGAAATCCCCCCCTTTTTTGCCTTTTACCTTTTTTATTGAATTTATTGGGTGGCATTCATTCCTAAATCATACAGGTTTCAAGTGTACAACTCAATACAGCCTCATCTGCCAGCCTGGGAATCAGCCAAGAGCACACGGGCGGGCAGGACACTTCCCAGGACCACACATTGTGTTTGGAGATGGCGGCAGCCCCAGTTCAGAGATGAGGACTGACACCTGGCTCACACAGGTATAAGAGACATTCTAGAAAGAAAAGAAGGGGCTGGCTTCTTTGTATGAGGAAAGTCATCTGTTTAACTCATCCCTCTAGTTGGAATCAGTTGTCAGGAAATAATTGAATGTGAGTGTCTCCTTCCCGCTTGCTGGCGTGGCTTAAATAAGTGGCTTTTCCCTGAACACGAAGTTTGTGTGTGCCCAGTGTGTCAGCAGGGACCAATCAGCAACACTACAGGTGTTACAGGAAGAAGGGGTTGAATATGGACAGTGGGGCTTTCACTGAAGGAGAGCTGGCGGGGTGATAGCCTAGAACCATCAAGTGGAGGATTTGAGACACAGTTACCAAGGACACCAGCCAGAGCCTGGGACAGGTGGAGGAACCAGAGCTGTAAGGAAGATTCCAAAAATGGTCCTGCAGCGAGCAAGTGAGCTCACGGAGAGGACTGCGAGGCTGGATGTCTAGTGAACCCCACCCCCGAGGATAGTGCCTGAGCTTTCATCGACACCCGTGCCCCTAGAACCACACTGGGAAGGGGTCTCAGGGAGCATGGTCCTCAAGAGAGAGTGGAGACAACAGCATTCGGCCCACCTGGGGGCTAGGACCTTGGGCCCTGCAGTGGTTTCCGGTACAGACGCTCCATCCTCCACTGAAAGGAGTTTTCCTCAGTAGAAAATTGGGACTCGATACCCATTAGACCTTAACCTCTTCGTATGTAGTGAGAAAAGGGAATTCCATTCTTTACTTTTCATTTTTGTAGGCATAGCCCATCATTGGAGCCCGTAGTTATCAAAAGTGCCATGGCTCCATTATATGATTTGGTGTAACCTCGGGTAAACTGGACAATGTATGTTAGGAAATAGAAATACATGACTTTGGAGTTATTTTTATTAAGGATCTGAACAGAACTTGGTGCTGCCCACTGTGGGCCCCAGGGAGACTCATAGAGGGATGGTGGTGAGTGCTGGGGGAGCAACTTCCTGAAGATGGAAGTAGGATGCCGCTGTCTCCCCTGAGAGGGAGGCCAGT